GGCCGTCGGCAGCCTCGGCGCGAGGCTCGAGCCGAGGCTCGAGACACGAGGAGCGGCGCCCTGCGCTGCTTCCTGGCGCAGGGCACGAAGCGCGTCGCGCAAAAACGGCGACGCCCTTCGTTCCCCAGCCCCCCCGTTCCCCCCCCCCCCGTTCCCCTTCGCCATCTCGCTCCCGCTCCCGCCCATCTCCCAGCCCTTCCCCATCCTGTCCTTCCGACGTGTTATACTCCCGAGGTGCCCCCCATAGCCCATGGCCCCATAGGATCCTCCCTCCCGCCTTCCCCTGCCCGCCAGCTCCTCCTCTCTCTCACTCACTCTCTTTATTTCTCTCTCTCTCTCTCTCTCTCTCTCTTTCTCTCACTCTCTCCCTCATCCCCTCTCTCTCTCTCTCTCTCTCTCTCTCTTTCTCTCACTCTCTCCCTCATCCCCCTCTCTCTCCCTCTCTCTCCCTCTCTCGATGTTCCTCGCGTTCTCTGAATCCCTCTCCATCTCTTCACTTCTCTCTCTCTCTCTCTCTCTCTCTCTTTCTCTCTCTCGCTCCTCCTCTTCTTGCTCCTCTCTCTCTCTCTCCTCTTCTTTCTCTCATCGCCCCCACGCTGTCTCTCTTTCTCTCTCTCTATTTCTCATTCTCTCTTTTTCTCTCTCTTGTTCTCTTGTTCCCTCTCTCTCTCTCTCTCTCTCTCTCTCTCTCTCTTTCTCGTTGTGTATCATGTCTGTGTTCTTTGTTGTGTGTGTGTCTCTCTCTCTCTCTCTCTCTCTATCTCTCTCTTTTTCCCCCTTCCCGTCCCCATCTCTGTATGTATATTTCCCTATGTCTATTTCTCTTTTTCCGTCTCCCCTCAGTCACTGACCTCAGTCGTCCTCTTCCCCCTCTCTCACTCTCTCTCTCTCTCCCCCCCCCCATTCCGCCCCGGCCTCAGAGAGGGCAGAGAGGGGGGGGGGGAGAGAGAGAGAGAGAGAGAGAGAGAGAGAGAGAGAGAGAGAGAGAGAGAGAGAGAGAGAAGAGAGAAGAGAGAAGAGAGAGAGGGAGAGAGAGAGAGAGAGAGAGAGATAGAGATAGAAGAGAGAGAGAGAGAGAGAGAGAGAGGAGAGAGAGAGATGAAGAGCGAGAAAACACAAAAAAAAATAAACATTCAAATTCAAAGGAAAGGGAGTATAGAGTATAGAAGAGAGAGAGAGAGAGAGAGAGAGAGGAGAGAGAGAGAGAGAGAGAGAGAGAGAGAGAGAGACAACACAGAGAGAGGGGGAGCGAGGCGTATAACGAACCAGAGACAGGCATATATACGGATTGGGGCCTCGGGTCGCCCGTCGCCCACCGAATAATGTGAAACGGTGGGAGATAGAGAGAGGGAGACAGGAACGATGGAGATTTCTGATATCGAGAGAGAGAGAGAGAGAGGGTTAACGAAGAAAATAATGAAGAAGAGGAGTTTTATCAGCGCACGGGGTCTGGGCACGCGGCGCCCACGCAGCTTCCCCGCGCGGCTGGACAGCCACTCTCACGAGCGGGGGGGGGGAGACTCGCGAGTCTCGTCCGCGAAAGTCTCGGGACGCAGCTCCTCGCGCTGGAGTCAGCGCGCGGCGCCAGGAAGGCTCCTCGCGCGACTGGGCGGCGCTCGGGCGCGCGGGCAAGACTCGCGCGTCGCGTCGGCAGCGGCGTCGGCGCGCAAGTTGCGCGCGGGGTCGGCGCGCGTCGTTAAGCAGCTTCTTCGGGCAGCCGGATAGCGCTCGCGCGTGCAGGGGGGGGGGGTCGCGCGTCGTAGCGGCGAATGTTTCCGCGCGGGACTCGGCGCGCGGCCCTCAGCAGGCTCGCTGCGCGAATTGGCATCGTTCGAACGCGCGGGTGGGCGGTGCGCCTTGCGTCGGCGGTCTTTATCGGAATAGTACTTCGGCGCAGCGGTCTCGATTCGCGCGCAGGATGGCGCTTGGCTGCCCGACTAGACGCGCGCGCGCAGAGATGCCCCTGCGGATGCGTCGCGAACGCACCACGCTTGCTGGCGTGCCGCTACCCGACCACACCGCGGAAGGTGGAAGAGGGATCTCAAGGCTTCATTGCTCTCCACAAGCCGCGTCAGGATCTTCCCCGCGCGCAGGAATCATGCGGTGTCCCCGAGGTGCTCATGAATCATTCAAGATACCACGCGGTTCTTCTGGCGGCGTCGCCGCTGCGTCGCATCTCCTAGGGCAAACCGTGGCATGGGCCTCCTGGGGCTCCCTGTGGTTTCCTGGAGTTTCCTGGGGCTCCCTCAGGTTCCCAGGTCTTCCTGAGGCCTCGTTCGGTTTTCTTTGGATTTTGTAAGGGTCTTAGGGGCTGTCGTGGCCCCTAGGGGTTTCCTGAGATTTCCGGGGGTTTCCTCTGGTTCCCTGGGGTTCCCTGGGGCATTTCAGGGCTTCCCCGGAATCCCTGGGGTTCGCTAGGGCCTTCTAGGTTCACCAGGGCTCTTTGGGAGTCCTTGGGCCATTCTGGGGCTTCCGGGACCCTCCTGCGGTTGCCCGGGGCTCACTGGGGCCCCCTGGAGCTCCATGGCGCATTCGGTGCTCCCTGGAATTTTTTGGGGCTTCCAGAGGCCCCCTTGCGGGGGCTTCCCGGAGCCTGCTGGGACTCCCTAAGGCTCCTTGGGGGTTCCTGTGATTTTCTGGGGTTCCTTGAAGCTCCCTGGTGCTCTCTGAAGATTCCTGAGACTCCATCAGGTTCCCCGGGGCTTTCTGTAGCCTCCTGCGGCTCCCTGGGATTCCCCCAGGCTTCCTAGGTTTTGAACGTCAGGTGCGCCTGTGCACGTGACAGCACACATCGGGAAACATGTCAGCCCCCACCATCTTTGCCGAAAACCACTGCCCATCATGGTGTCGGGTGGGCCTGCACACCGCAGGCCATGCGCCACCCTTCCGCCGCCCCTGTCGAAAAAAACACTTGACAGTGATCGCGGGGTGGCCGCGCACGATCCAGATTTAGCCGCGAGTTGCATGTATTATTTTTGACGGGGATGGTGGACCTGCGCGCAATAGGCAATATGCTGGCACCCCCGCCGCCCCTGTCAAAAACCATTCAAAGTGCCCGCGGGCCTCACGAACATGACTCAAGACTTTGCCCCGAAGTGAACTTGGTATTGCTTTTGACAGGCATGGTGGGGGTGACCCGCGTCGGGTTGGTTGCGCGGGCTCCGAATTTGGAGGCAGAGAGTGTGGGTGTGTTGTATTGTTTTTTTTTGAAAGGGATGGTTGGGAGGTGAGGATCACAGGGTCGGCACCGCTCCTGGTTGGCTGCCAGTCGCCCCGAAGCCGCAAGCTGCGCCGCCCACTCCCGCCCGCCCTTCCACTGCATGAGTGGCGCCCGGGCCTCCGCACGGGCAGGAGCCGCCGTCGGGAACCCATGCAGACGCCTGCCAGGTGCCCGACCCCTGCGAGGCGCTCCGCACGTGCCGGGTGCGCCGCACCGGGCCACGTGTCGACCGCGCCACCATCGCAATCAGAGACATTTGTGCAACGTGACGGCGGATTCGCGAGCATGGTCTAATGAGTATTCCGGGTTTCCTAATAAGCGTGGGGGGGTACCCCCCGACGGGGGTCGACCTCGCCTCGTCGTCGCGCCGCGACGGGGGTCGGAACGCCTTCGGCGCGCGGTGGCTGCCCGCGACGGGGGTCGATGTGGGGCCGTCGACGGGGGTGACGACACCCCGACGCTTATTTAAGAAACTTGGAGTATGGGTGGGCACCCGTAATCAGTTTGCACGTGTTTTTGGCAGGATGGTAAACTGCTCCCCCCCGCCGCCCATGCTGGTGCAAAGTGAACATCGTATTGCTTGTCGTAAGGGATTGCTTAGGATGTTGGCGTTGCACACAGCAGGCAATGTGCTGCCCCCCCCCCCCCCGCCGTCCTTGCCACCAACAAATGCGGCGTGATCACGGGGCGTCCGCGCATGATCCAGATTTTGGTGCAAAATGCACTCCGTATTGTTTTTTCGCAAGGGATTGCGTGGGGAGGCATTGGCATTGCACAAAGCAGGCAACATGCCGGCACCCCCGCCGCCCCTGTCAAACAATGTCAAGTGATCGCGGGCCGTGTTGGGCCAGTTTGTGGGGCGGGGCCTCTCGCTCAGTTTTTGGGCTTGCAGACGCCCGACAAGGCGAGAACGCGAAGACAGTGCAAACACCGCAGCAACACCAGTGACTTGTGCCTCTTGGGGCCCTCGTGGGCGTCCTCTTGGGACCCTCTTTCGGCGTCTTGGCCCACCTCCGCCTTCGCGTCCCTCTCCGCCTCCGCCTTCGCATCCTTCGGCTCCGCCCTTTTTCGGCCCCGCCCCTCGCACCTCCGCCTCGGCCTTGGCCTGGCCTCCGCCCTATACCTCCCCTCCCCCCTCCGCCTCCGCAGCCCCCCCCCCTCCCTCCCTCCTCGCCCCGCCTGCTCCTGTCTGCCCTCCCTCCTCCTCCTCGTCCTCCTCCTCTCCTCCTCCTCCCCCTCCCTCCTCCTCTTCCTCCTCTTCCTCCTCCTACTCCTCCTCCTCCTTTTCCTCCTCCTCCTCCTCCTCCTCCTCCTCCTCCTCCTTGTGCTCCTCCTCCTCCTTGCTCCTCCTCCTCCGCCTCCCTCATCTTCTTGCTTCCTCCTCCTCTCTCTCCTCCTCTTGCTCCTCCTCCTAGTCCTACTCCTCCTCCTCCTCCTTTCCTCCTCCTCCACTCCTCCTTCCTCCTCTTTCTTCCCATCCGCCTCCCTCCTCCTTCCTCCCTTCCCTCCTCCTCTCCTCCTCCTCCTCCTCCTCCTCCTCCTCCTCGCTCCTCCTCCTCCCCCGCCTCCTCCTCCTCCTCTCTTCTCCCCCGCCTCTCCTCCTCCCCTCCCCTCCTCCTCCTCCTCCTCTCCTCCTCCTCCCTCCTCCTCCTCCTTCTCCTCCCCTCCTCCTCCTCCTCCTCCTCCCCCTCCCCCTCCGCCTCCCCCTCCCTCTCCTCCCCCTCCCCCTCTCCCCCTCCTTCCCCTGTGAGCAGGCCCGCCCGGCCCTCCCTCCGCGGAGGCGTGCGAGTGCGCGATCTGCCTCTCGTGCCACCCCGAGGGCCCCGTGCGGCTGCCGTGCGGCGGGGGGGGGCGGGGGGCTCGCACGAGGGATGCAGCACGCGGGGGTGGGGCTGGGGGATGGGGTGAGGACGTCGCAGAAGACAGAACGGCATAAACATAAACTTCTGGCGCTCCGCGCGGATTTCTTGGATCCGCGCCCGGGCCTCCCCGGCGGCGCCTCCAGCGCCGCCCCTGGCGCGCTCCGCGCGCCAGGGAGGAGGGTCCAGCGCAGATCCAAGAAATCCGCGCGGAGCCCCAAAAGTTTACGTTTATGCTGTTTTTGTTCCTTCTTCTAGGACGGGATCATAGGAGGGCCAGGGGGGGGCGGGGGGGAGGAAGGGATGGAGGGAGGGGGAGGAGAAGGGGAGGGATGGGGACGGAAGGAGACGGGAGGGATGCTTTTTGGTGCCGCGAGTCTGCGCTGTTTTGTTCGTTTGGGGTCGGGGGGGATTCTGCGTCGGCGTCGTGCCCCAAAGCAGGTAAGTATGCCAGCGCTGGTCAGGGCATATCGTCGAACATCGTGGTTTGTAAGAATTGGAAGCAGAGCGCCGCTTGAGGACGACCCCTCGTCATGTTAATATTCCGAGTTCATGCTTGCCCCGTTTAGATGCCACGTTGGCGCCTAAGGTAATATGAGCCGCAGAGCGCATCAGATGCGTCCAGAAGCGGTCCAGCCTCTTGAGGTTAGAGATGTGCGACAGCGTGGGTTTCGAAATGCGCGGGGCCGGGCACCGCATGGCGCGAGTTACTTCGTACGCGTGCAGCTCGACGATCGCGCGGGTACGGGATGGCAGACCAGATCTTGTTGATGCTTTCCCTGGTATTACGTAGCGTGTCTTCGCTGGTTCAAGCTCAACCGCCGAATCCGCAGGGCGTGTATTCGGCTCCAAACGCTCCCCAAGAAGGCGGCTGGTTTTGATTGGTGCAGGGCCTTGTTTTCCACGGTCGAGGCGGGCGGGGCTGATTTTTGCTTCTCGAGGGAATTTGCGGGAGGCCGTGCGCCCTGGAGTCATCTTGGCACAAGCCTGCGGTTTTGAGCCGCATGGGGCCAACTGAGGCCATCGTGGGCAGTTTAGGGGTCATTCGGGGCTACCTCGGGGCCGTCCTGGGGCCATCGTGGCACATCTGGAGCTTAAAGTGGATTCCCGATGGTTCGTGGGAGGTTGTTGTGCACGTGGCTTCCCTCCGAGAGGAATGTGGATCCTCCCCGATCGGGCGATCTGGGCTCCCGATCTCGCTGCGCGCTGCGTTTATTCGCGCGGGATGCGCACGCGGTTGTGGGGAGCATGCGCTGTTCAAGGGAAGCGCTTTCCAACCTTCGAAGTGAAGCTCTCGCCCCAGCGCCGGCCGCCTTCCTGGCTGAACGGTGATCTCGCTTTCGTGCTGGCCGCATGACTGGCTTGGAATGTTACTCTCGACCTGGCGTCGGCTACATTCGAAGCTTCCACCAGTACTCTTGTGCGCGTGTGCGAATTAGCGATGCCATTACCCGGTTTGCCCGAGCGCGCGTGCGGATTGCCTCTGCCGCGCTGCGACGTAAAGAGTGAGTGAGTGTGTGTATGTGTGTTGTATTTCGCACAGGCTGCCCCCCTGGTGGTTGGAAGTGTGCCTTCCTGTGCCGCTCTGGCACCAGCGTGGGCCAGGCTCCCTGCCCGACGATTGCTGGCCACCTTAAGTGGGCCATGTGGCTCCCCGACCGCCAGGACAGGAATATTTTAAGCCCGCTTCACGTGGACCACCTGGGCCCGACCTCTTGGAAGTGGCGCATCTACAGTGAAGGACCTGTGGCATGGCGCTTTCGCCGCGCTCGTCCTCCGCCTCCGCCTCCGTCCCCGTCTGGACCGCCCTGGGACCCGCCCCTGCCCCCCGCCGCCCCCTCTCTGCTCCTCCGGGCCCGCGTGCGCGGCAGCTCTGCCGGTGCCACCACCGCGTGCGCGACGCGACGAGAGGGCCGCCACGAGCTGGAGGAGGACCGGCAGTCAGTGGCACATCGCCACGGGCGAGATGAGGGGAAGGAGCAACGGCATAAACATAAAGACTCGAAGTTCCGCGCGGGTCTCTCGGATCGGCGCCGGCGCCCCCTGGAGGCGCCTCTTGCGCCGCCCCTGGCGCGCTCCGCGCGCCAGGGAGGGGGGTCCAGCGCGGATCCAGGAAATCCGCGCGGACCCCCGAGTTCTTATTCAGGAGGGGAAAAAACACAGACACAAGTAATCGTCGATCCCCAAGAAAATATATGAAAATGTGGGAAGTGGGGGGGAAGACAAAAACCCAGAAAATACAAGAAAATATGGGGAATCCGGTTATTTGTGTCTATTCATTTGTGTGTCCCAGGGCCCCCCCCATTTATGTTTATGCAATTTCTTGTTTCCCCAGAGATGGCGCAGACGTTCGGCACGTTGCCGCTGGCCAGCAGTGGTGCCACGTGCCACCAGCGAAGGGTTGCAGGGAGCGGCTTCCTCGCCGGCCGTGGCGGCGTCGAAGGCGCTGGAGCAGCAGTTCGGAGAGGCTCGCGATAGCCACGCGCAGCGTGCAGTCTGCCACACAGGACGTGCACTGCGGCGTGCAGCACGCCCTCGGCATTCGCGCGCGGCAACACAGCAGACCGACGAGGCGACAAAAGAAACCAGACAGGCGCGTCGAACTCATCCACCCAGTGGCTTCTCCCGCCATCATCAGCATCATTGAGCAGCTCATCACTGAAAACGTCAGCATCATGCTGGCAGAAGGTGAATCGTGGCCATGGACGCCGAGGTGCTGCTGAGGACGGCCTGGACGACACAGGTCGCCAGGCAGTGGCGGAGGCCAAGGAAGCCTCCTGTCGCGAAGCTCGGAGCCAGTGCCGAGCTCTCCGCGCGCCAGCTCCAGGGCCACGTGGCAGCTGCCGAGGCGAAGGTGGCAGAGGAGCGGCAAAAGGACTGCCCAGTCATCCGAAACGAAGGAGGAGGAGGAGGAGGAGGAGGAGGAGGAGGAGGAGGAGGAGGAGGAGGAGGAGGAGCAGGAGCAGGAGCAGGAGCAGGAGGAGCAGGAGGAGAGGAAGGAGGAGGAGGAGGAGGAGGAGGAGGATGAGGAGGAGGAGTGGCTGAGTAGGGGGGGGCACCCTGGCTGGACGCGAGGCAGGCAGACCCCCCCGGGCAGACGACGTCGGAGGTACCCCGGGCTTGCGTCGGGCATGGCCGTCCACAGGAGGAGTGCTCAAGAAAAGGAAGGAAAGTCTAGGGACGATTTGTCCGGCATGTTCTTTATGGCAGTTTTTTGACTGCGTTTGGCTATTTTCATTTTTCCAAAACCCGCCTGTAGGAGGACATGCCCGACCCAGCCCTGGACCGAGCTGCGCGAAGGGGAGGGCTGGTGGGGCAAGGAAGCAGCCGCCGCGTGCGAGCAGGACGGTGCGCGGGGCATCGCCGTGAGCTCGGCGGCGCCGAGCGGTCGGGCCGCGCCCTTCTCTGCGACGGCGTCTCCGACCGGGGGCCCGCTGCGCTGCGCCAGCCTGGCCGAGGGGTGTCGGCGCCCGAAGGCTTCGACGCCTGCGCGCTCCAGGAGGCGAACGCGTCAGCGGATGGCAGCGACGGTGAGGAGCAGGAGCCTTCGGATTCCCAGGTGCGTTCCCGCCGCATTCCCCGGGTGCCGCGGCCAGCGCGCCTCGGCGTGCCAGGTGTGGGCGGACCCCCGGCTTCCTCGACTCGGCGCCAGCCACTTGGCACCTGCAACGGAGTCGCCCTGCAGGCGGTCAGCATCAGTCTCGATGGCAGAACGTCGCTGATATAGAGAGCACCAATGGACGCGAGCTCACAACCCCTGCGCCCTTCCGCGCATTGCGAAGTTCGGCGGCGAGCGAGGGGGGGATGTGAGAAGGAAATGGCCTTCTCAGAAGGCGGCGCGATTTCTCCGAGGCACTCGCGCCTTTGAGAAGTTTTTGACGCCTCAGGGGAAGGCTTGGACACCTTCTCAGGAGGCCGGGGGGCTTCCGAGCCTTCTGAGAAGGCCCGCCCCGTTTCCCCCCCTCCTCCTCCTCCTCCTCCTCCTCCTCCTCCTCCTCCTCCTCCTCCTCCTCCTCCTCCTCCTCCTCCTATCCTCTCCTCCTCCTCCTCCTCCTCCTCCTCCTCCTCCTCCTCCTCCTCCTCCTCCTCCTCCTCCTCCTCCTCCTCCTCCTCCTCCTCCTCCTCTTCCTCCCCCACGAACCGAAGACAATTCGGGGCTCCCACCTGGGGAGAGGGACACTTCTGTAAACCGCTAGACTTAGCGCACGATAGGTCGCTCGTCGCTGAGTTTTCCTTCTCGTGATGTGGTAGTCGCTGCGTAGCTTCGATCTTCGACCCGATATCGATCCGCCGCCGCCGCCTCCACAAACCGCGACCCCAGCACCCTTCCCACTTTGGGATGGGTGGCCACCGGGGTAAGACGTGTGAGGGCGCCGTCCAGTACGGATGCACCTGTACACCCCCACGGCCTGCGGGCAACGGCCCCCGACCCAGACCGGGGGAAAGGAAGTGCAACAAACGAAAGCAGGGCACCTGCGCGGGCGGCCCGGAAGTGGAAGGATGTGGCGGGGAACCGAAGGAGGGGACGGGGACGGGGGAAGGGGGACGGTCGTCGTGTCGTCCTTCGTCAGCCCCTACCTGTGCCTCCGCACCCTCGGCCTCCTCTCCTCGTCCTCATTCCGCTCCGCCGCCTCCCCCTCCAGCTGGCCTCCTCTTCCTCCTGTCCCCGGGCGCCTCGGCTCAAGCCAGCCTCGGGGGGCGTTTCGGCGCCCTCGTCGTCCTCCTCCTCCTCCTCCTCCTCCTCCTCCTCCTCCTCCTCCTCCTCCTCCCTCCTCCCTCCCTCCCTCTCCCTCCTCCTCCTCCCCTCCTCCCTCCTCCCTCCTCCTCCCCCCTCCCCCTCCTCCTCCTCCTCCCTCTCCCTCCTCCCTCCTCCTCCTCCTCCTCCCTCCTCCTCCTCCTCCCCCTCCTCCTCCTCCTCCTCCTCCTCCTCCTCCTCCTCCTCCTCCTCCTCCTGCTCATCCTCCTCCTCCTCCTCCTCCTCCTTCCTCCTCCTCCTCCTCCTCCTCCTAAGCTGGCCTCCAGGGGCCTCGGCCATCGCCCTCCGCCCTCGTCCTCCTGGCCGCCGCCGCCTCCTCGAGCTGGCCTCTGGAGGCCTCGGCGCCCTCGTCGCCACCTCTGCACCTGAGCCTCCTTGTTTTCCGCTGCCTCCTCCTCCTCCTCCTCCTCCTCCTCCTCCTCCCCTCCTCCTCCCCCTCCTCCTCCTCCTCCTCCTCCTCCTCCTCCTCCTCCTCCTCCTCCTCCTCTCCTCCTCCTCCTCCTCCTCCTCCTCCTCCTCCTCCTCCTCTCTCCTCCTCCTCCTCCTCCTCCTCCTCCTCCTCCTCCTCCTCCTCCCCCCTCCTTCTCCTCCTCCTCCTTCCTCCTCCTCCTCCTCCCTCCTCCCCTCCTCCTCCTCCTCCTCCTCCTCCTCCTCCACCTCCTCTCCTCCTTCTCCTCCTCCTCTCCTCCTCCTCCTCCCCTCCTCCTCCTCCCTCCCCTCCACCTCCTCCTCCTCCTTCTCCTCCTCCTCTCCCTCCTCCTCCTCCTCCTCCTCCTCTGGGACTCTGCCCGACCGCGCTCCTGGCCCTCGAGGGCGTGCCGGCCCCGCGGCACTGCGCGGTGCCGCGCGGTGGGCCGGTTGCCTTTTGGGGCCGCCAGGCGGTGCCTGGAGCTCCGAGCTCCGAGTCGTGCGGGATCGTCCGCCGTTGCACTAAGGCGAGCACGCCCCTCTACAGGAGGAATTTTCAAATTTATTACCACTGCTATTTAGTATTATTATTGTCATTGACATTATTATTATTACTACTATTATTATTTATAAGATTTGCCCTATCACTATCATTATTACTACGATTATTACTAGAAATACTATTTTTTATCATCACAATTCTTAACCTTATTAGTATTATTACTATTATTATTATTATTAGTAGTATCACAATTATCATCATTATCATTATCATTATTACTATTATTTTAAACATTATTTTTTATTATTAGTAGTAGTCGTATTATTTTTAGTATTATGATTCGTATGATTAGTTTCAGGAATAATAGTAGTATTCATATTCTTGTCATTGTGTTTGACCTGTGGGTGGCATTTTGGGGGTACTTTTTTTTCTGTTCCAAAGTCCGCCTGTAGGGGGACATGCCCGACCTAAGCGTTGCACTAAAGTGGAGCGGTTTGCATTTCAATCGGAAAAAGCATTTGGGCGACCATTCGAGAGCCCTATTTGGCCAGCCCTCTCGGGGCGACCTTGTCGGGAACTACGTGTGCGACCTTTTTTTTTCCGGGCGGCCATTCGGGGAACCGTGCAGGGAACCGTTTTGGAACCATTTCAGTACGTCGAGCCCTCTGCGCAACGTGCTTTTCACAACCCCAGGCCCGGCAACGTTGCGCCGCCTCCAATGAGCCCTCAGTGGCGAGCGCGCGCGAGACGAGAGGATCGCAACAGACGACGGGTCGCCCGTGCTTTGGCCCTGTGGGCTGTGAGCGAGAGCCGTTGCCCGTGGCGCCACGGCGAGGGCCGCCGCATTGCGTGCCGCGGAGGGGGCCATCGACGGGCGACCGCGCCGCGATCAAGAGATCCCCCAGCAGCAGAAGGAAGTGGTGGCCAAGGGGACACTCGAGGCAGACCTGCTCGACCAGGTGACGAGGACCCCCCCCCACCCCCACCGCCTGCGTGCTCGCAGGGGCGGGCAAGGGTGGATGCAGACGGTGCTGGCAACGCGTGGGGAAGGACATGGGGTTCTCAGTGCTCCTGGCCCGGGTTCCGCGACGGCTGCCTTAGGGCCTTGCCCCCCGGCCGAGGACTGGTAGTGATGGCGGTATTCCATGGAGCACGACAACATGCATCTCGGATTATGTGGAGGCAGAGTGCGCTAAGACGACAAAGTGTAACAAGATGCGCTGGACATCCGCCGCCGACAGGGATGATCTGCGAGCTCCAGAGACACGTGCAGCTGCTCGAGCAAACGACACTCTGCCTCTTAGGGGAGAGCAGAGGGGCGCGGATCCCGCAGATGGCGGCGACCCCGCGAAGTGTTCCTTCCTGCCCCGCGATTCGAGTGCTGGCTTCCCCCCCCCTCCTTCCCCCGTGTTTGCTCCCTTTTCTGCCCCCCCCCTCTCTCATCCTCCGCCTCGTCGGTCCCCCCCTCTCTCGTCCTCCGCCTCGTCGGTCGTCGTCGGTCGTCGTCGTCCTCGTCGTCGTTGTCGCCGTCGTCGTCGTCGCCGTCGCCGTCGCCGTCGCCGTCGCCGTCTTCGTCGTCGCGCCCCTCCTCACTTCACGGTGTGCCTCTTGGCAGCCCCAGGGTCTGAACGTCGGAGAGTGGGAGGTGAGAACCAAGTTATCCCAGACGGCATATCGGTACCAGCTTCGGTCCGCGTCGTGCCTGCGGGCGCAGTGAGAGTCGCGCGAGGGCGACGATGTGCGTTGGCGCAGCCAGGGCGGCCAGGTCGTACACCAGTTATCTCCTCGGGCGTTGCGGCTCTTCGCCGTGGTTGTCCCGCGATGGTCCTGTGTTTGTCCAGATGTGATCCCGCGCTTGTCCGGTGGGTTGTCCCGTGGTTGGCACGTGGGTTGTTCTGTGGGCCGTTGTCGCGTGTGTTGTCTTGCGGTTGTCCCGAGGGTTGTCTTGGCGGGTTGTCCCGCGGTTGTTTTGTGGGCTGTCTTGTGGTTGTACCGTCGGCTGACACGTTTTTGTTTGCAAAAAGAAGAATCTATATCTTGATAATGATACTAATAATAAGAACAACAGCGTGGGTTGAGTCGTAGTTTGTCCTGTGCTTGTCCCGTGCGTTGTCTCGTGGGTAGATCCGCAAGGCGAAATGCACATCAAAGTGCATATGAACATGCAGATTGAAATGCCAGACGAAGTTCAAATCGAGATGAAAATCAAGCTGTAAGTCCAATTGCAGTCTACATACATCGAACATTAAATCTGGATGCACACGAGACTGCACATCGGAACTCAAATCCAAACACCGTCGACATGCACATCGACATGAGTTTCGAAATGCAAATCCGCATTGAAGTCTGAATGCACATCGTGATGCAAGTCCAGTGTCAATCGAACCGCAAGACGGTATTCACATACCACAAATGATCGACTTGCAAGTCCTTCAATGCCTGATCATCGCCGCAGGGTGGGTCATACGAGGCAAGGTTATCTGCCCGGTGGGTGGCGTTGCTCAACTGTGTCTGCGTTCTCTCCAGCCCTTGCATCTCGGCCAACGGACGACCTGGCTCGGTCCTTCGCGCAGGGACACAGCCCCAGGAGTTTCCTCCTCCTCCTCCTCCTCCTCCTCC